TCGTATTGTTCTCATATTTGCAGGAGATCAATTGCTGGAAGTAGAAACAAAATAATAAAGATAGGTAATTCAATAGCGTTGTATACGTTATAACATTTCTCGATAAAATATAACGGGCAATATATGCGTGCTGATAGGGATACTGTTGTGAATCTATTGTAATCCGATCTCTGAAGACCTGTCTTGAAATCCACGATGAAGAAATTCTGATGTGTGCAGATTGCCGGGCATACCGAATTATCTATAGCGAAAAGCTACTTAGCAAGTCGGAAAACTTTTTCCTATAACTATGGACAATTCGACATGCCCTGTGATCTGCACAGATCAGAATTTCTTCATCGGGGATTTCAAGACAGGTCTTCGGAGATCGGATTACAATAGATTCACAATAGAACCCCTGTCAACACAAATGAATATCAGATTCGAGATCAGCGTATCGAAAATTGCGTATATATATATTATTGTTAATTTTATTTAATTTATTTAATCTAATTTAATATATAGATTATTTGGGAATCTTCCCTCGTAAGTTCGGAATTCTATGGAAGACTTAAACTTGACGCCTCATTTTTTGCTTTTTCAACTAGAAGATATGATTTGAACAACATCTTCTGTACCCAAATAGATAGATTCTTTCTCTAGATCTTTTCCTCAGCGGCGAGCCTTAATTTCTGTAATTTACTTTGTAAAAATAGGGAAATGTATTTTGATCACTAAATTTATTCATTGCGAAATTATCGCCAAAAAATAAGACTTTTGATCACCAAATCAATTAAAGAAAACTTAAATTAAAGAAAAAATATACAAGAAGAAGAAACCACAACAAAAATAGAGTAATGTTTCATTCATAGTTTTTCTATTTCTTTCGTAATTCTCACTTTTTTTCTTTCATTCTGTCGACCTAGGTCGTAACCAGGGGTGTAACCGGTATACAAACCTTGTACCGGTACCAACCGGTATACCGATGACCGGTCGCTACCGGCTTGTGTTGATCATGTTTTGTCTAAATACAGATACTTTTTCCGTGTCATAGATGTGAAGAAGCCTGTTAATATTCAGCGAAAAAAACCGATAACTCTTCTTTTGATCAATCACTTATGTTATCAAAGGAAAAGATTAATTTTTTCACTTTGATTATGTATAGGTCATTTTTCACACACCCTTTTTTAACGAAAACAGCAATTCAATACAATCTTTTAAATTAAGAAGTTTATATAACCCGACTAAGTTTAGGTAATTGGAATAAAATTTTAGTGGAAGAAATATGTCGTAGATGAACTGACTTACACGATGTTTTTCGAAAAATCGTGTCGTACCGCAAAATATTGACAATGTCGACCGACTGATTATACTTCATACTAAGCCGGTATACCGGTCGGCGTTATAATCCATACCGGTACCGGCGCCGACATCGGTACTCCTATAGCGACCGGTATATTGGTACCGGTTGCACCTCTGGTCGCAACACTACCGACAATCTGACTATAGAATGTGCGTGGTGATGATAATCAAGCCCATATATTTTAACACTCTTATCCCCCAAACTAAATTCGCTTCCGTTTCGTTGTTTCCCCCTATAATACGCTCATTGGTAAAAAGTAAAACGAAAAAGCAAAAAGCTAACAATAAAATGTTCTTTAAAGCTACTAACGTTTTGTTCCAATAAAAGAATCATTCTCCCATTGACCATCATAGAGAATTTTACCATCTCTATCCATTAGTGTTCCAGTTCCAGCTCGTAAAGCCTGATAAAATTTACCAGTATAAACTGATCTACCATCCTTTGTATATTTCATAGTTCCCTGTCCTTGCATTTTATCATCAAACCAATTTCCTTCATACACATCACCCGTCGCAGCCCATCGGTATGTTCCAAAACCCGTCCTTTTATCATCAACCCAATCACCCGTGTATGTGTCTCCAGTAAGGGACCACGTCATAGTACCTCGACCATACATTTTATCATCAAACCAATTTCCTTCATACACATCACCCGTCGCAGCCCATCGATATATTCCAAAACCTTTCCTTTTATTATCAACCCAACCACCTGTATATATGTCTCCAGTAAGGGGCCACGTCATAGTACCTAGACCATGCATTTTGTCATTAAACCACGATCCCTCATACCTTCCGCCACTTTTAGCGTACATTACAACGCCAAATCCATTTCTCAGACTATTAACATAATTTCCCTTATATTGGTCACCATTACTCCATGTAAAAGTACCGTAGCCACTCCAAACAAGACTACCTAGAAAGTACATATGAAACAACAAGTATTTGTTCGGCCTGAGTAAGGTTCACCGTGTTGAGTCAAATGAGACCACTTCTTGTGTGCCCACCCCTCGTTTAAGTTTCAGCGCTGCAACTATACATCCAAAAGAATCGAAAAGCTTAGATTATTCTGAGATCCGCTAGATTTGTTATTATAAAATAACCACATCTAAAAGCGTTGGCAACGTTTATGGTTTGAACTATAGTGTGACGCCATCTAATCAAATCTCACAAACTTTCGCTCTTGATTAATGGAAACATTCTTGCACGCGTCTTTCCCTGAAATGTAGTTTTGCTTCTGGGAGAGCATCTGTGGTGGTCCCAACACTCTCATACCTTCTAGATCTATAAGCTGATCGCCGATATATTCTCCTCCATTAACAAACTGATAGATACCATGCCATTTCTTATTACCAAGATAAACGCCAACAAATTTATCTCCATTCGCATAAGTTTGGTTTGCAATACGTGCAAAAAATGAAAGTCGACGAATATAGAATTTTAATTTATGAATCTCTTTAGCTAGAACACGAATATTGTCGACGTTAATAATTAAAGACGACGAAAGTACGATGAAGATAAAAAAAACTAATAAGAATAATAAGAAAGTAATTAATGATGTTATTGCTTTCCACATTCGTGTTTTGTGTGCCAACTGTCTGCTGAATAAGAAATAAAATAAAATTTTATAGGGAGAATGCATTTTTGTGGTCAATATTTACAGTAGAAGAAAAATGGATTAAAAAACAGAAGAGGTTGTTCTCTTCTTGGAAATTGTAATCATTAATACCTTTTTTGTGTTTTTTTCACTCATATAGTCATAATTATGTCGACACACATTATGCAATTGTTCAGGAAGATTTTTTGTTTTGTTTGGTCACTGTATTTGCAAAATGTGCGCTGGTGATCTAGAGAAGTACGCTACGTAGAAAACCTCCGAAAATGGGAGGACAGTCTCTGGATACATTTTTGACTACATATGAGAGTTTGTCTGTTGTACAGCACTATACACCAGCTGGACAAGTTAACAACTATTTTCTTTTGAATAATTTTAGATTACTCTAGAAATATTGCTGGTTGGAAGCAGCCTAATAAAGAACATTAGTTTAAACAATATTTATTGTAGCTGATGAAAACGTACAGAACAAAGAAGATGGATGCATGAGCCCCATGATATCCTTTCTGACTGTTTTGATGATGTTACATATGAGACGGTACGCGACAGGGACGGACTAAGTTGCTCAATGAACTTTCACAAATTTTTCTCAAATTTTCAGAGCAGATAGAAAAATATGTCTTGAACATTTTTTTTCAAGCTTAAATTTTTAAGGACTCTACGGTTTCGTGAACTAGACCCAGAGTACTGCCATGAAGCGTCGTCGAATTTTTGGGGAAATGATGGAAAACACTCGGGATCCTAGGACACTTTTGTCACTATCATATATAAATGGAATTATAGCGCGAGAATTTGTCTATCGAATGATATATCTATCGTAGTGGTTAGATCATAAAGGGTGTCATAGATTATCTTAGACTTTTTGCACACAGGAGATTATTTTCCATAGACGGAAGTATTTCTAAACATACTTGGCCTCAGAACGACTATTTTTGTATATGTGATATACCGAAATATAGCGCAGAAAAAGGGCTTTCGAATGACATATAATAGTTCTACTGAGGTATGATGCCGTGAGAGACACACTCGAAAATATGATCAATAATACGTGTCAAAAGTGATGACAGTTAATTGGATCCAATTTTTTCTGAGAGCATTTCTAAGGTCTGCCGAGCGGCTAGAAATGTTCTCCTGTTCATTCCGCATCTAACCATGTATGTGTCGATGGAATGGCCGATTCCATCAAATAATCGCCCCCGTCCTTTGATTTTGTTTTTAATCTGAAAAATCCGTGAGGATTTCGTATATGGACTTTTTTGTAAGTTACTTTCCAACTTTACAGTGTATTATAGAGTAGAAAAAATGGCGATATAATATCAAAACTTTTCGGTTTCGGTAATGCCGGAATCGGTTTTTTTTGCTTTTTTCTCGAAACCGATGCACACTCAGCTATAACAGTAGTAAAGTCTGTTTAAAACTTTCGGTTAGTACTCTGAAATGATGAACTGGTCGTGATTATTGGAAGTTTTAGGCTTTTGACATCAGTTTCGGAAAGAAAGCGAACAATTTGAAATATATTTCATGTACTTTAAACGTAAAAAGTGATTTTTAGCAGTTCCAAAATAATAATGATAATGAAAGTTAAAAGAAAAATGGGTAAAAAACATGAACTCAGGAGAAGAAAATTTTTTCTTCGATATAAAAAATATCATTCATTTCATAAAAATGAATGTGAATGGTTGCTTCTGGATTGTCAACAAAAAACATTTTCGAAATGCTTTGATTCTGCTAATCTTTCGTATGAAAGGATCGCTAAAATGTGCAGCGTTTCAGTACAAAAACTGGTGCAGCATTTCCAAGAACAGGCTGCCCATTTAAACACAACTGAAAGCTGGCAACATCTTAGTATGAGCATTTTGTAATCCAAGCCGAGTTATGTATAAATAAAGCGTTTTTTTAAAACAAATAGAGGGCAGTCTCTTCACAAACTCGTACAGGTTTATGAAGAGAAATTACTCCTAAATTGAGAAGGAATCAAACTCGAAGTTCAAAACTCCTCACTTCTTCAACAAAACATCGCCTAGACGTCTCATTTTTTGAAAGGACTGTTTGCTTAGTTAACTAATGCACAGCATTTTAACTACACTGTAAAATCGGAAATTATGTATAGAAAATTCTCGCCAAATTTCAAAAAGTCCATATATAAAATCTCCCAGGGATTTCCAGATGATGAAGTAGAGAAATTGTCTTATAAGAAGATCAGGTTAAAGAGAAGAATTTCGCTCTCTATGCAGAGGTATCGAAGTAATCGATTTTTATCAATACGTTTTATACTATGCAGAAGAGCGAGAACGTTCGTATTGATGTGCTACTTATACATTGTTAAAAGTTTAACTTTTCCAGTTAAAGGATGAATGGGTCTTTTTTACTAGCTTATAGATAAATTAATGCAGCAGTCGTCCAGAGTGTGTACAACAAGCAGTTCATCAAGAATAGAGTGTTCTGCTATTCATGATTTAATATTATTCTTAGTCACTTTGTATCTGTATCCTAGAAACAAATGATCTTGTTATTCTTCTCGTTGGTGGGTCGTTCTAAACCTTATTCTGGTGACTGCAAACTCGATGACTTACCTGTGAATTCAGTCAGTAAAATGTCGTATACACCATATTCTAGGTCCACTACATAAATGGACGACGTATAAATCAAATGAATTACGTATATTGTTCGGTATTTGCTAGCACATATGCCACACATGTTTCTGCACATGCCCGTCGGAGAGAACTTCACAATTTTCGATGCTGAACTGGTTCCAATAATCATCTTGACTGAGATGTGTTAAATGACCAAATATATATTGAAGATATTTAGCACATGTTAGCGTGACGTGACATTTAGACGATTTTTATTGATAAAAAATATAATATTTCTCGTACGTACACACGATATTAGAATAATGTCCTTCTCTTTTCCTTGATAAGAATGACTTGATTACTTTAATTTTTTTTCAATTTTCACTTTGAAAAATCACGAAATTTTCACCAAACCATAAAAGATAACTAAAAAGGACCCCGCCGTTTAAGAAAAACAACTCCGTTTGAGCTTATATTCTACAGTTTTGTAGAAGAATGGAAGGCGAATTTTTCTGTCGTCTCAGAATTTTTTCAGATCCCTCCTTATTAACAAACCTAGGCTAACAACTNCTACCAGTCTAAATGATGGGTCCTGTAAAATTTTATAGAAATGTTATGTACATAACATTTCTATAAAATTTTACAGGACCCATCACTTCGGGAGAAGTTTACCTTCTGAAATAAGAGGATATTCTTGATTCTCGGACTTGATAAACGGATAGCCTCCAGACGCTACTCTCTAAAACTAAAGACCGCAGCTCTGTGCCTAGTTTCTGTCAAAAGTTATTGTAAGAACAAGGGAGTACAATATATTTTGATATGGATAGTAATTGTTGTTTTACACACAGTCTGTCGAGAATTTTAGGGACTATCCGCTGATATATTTACCTAGTCGTCTACATGAAAGAACCACGAAGAAAACACATTTTACGTAAATGTAAATTCTCCTGTTGGTAAAATTCTCGTTGAAACACTAAACTTCCTTCTTCGTGGAATCCGGAAACTGCTTCCAAGACAAATAGCAGAGTTGATAGGAAGAAATTTTTCTTATCTTTTTTGCTTTGACTTTTTGTTTTCTGTTGTTCTAGAGAGAAACTTTTAGATCCTGTCAATGTAGCAATTTTAGGGTTCTGCTTTTGAATACCATCTGCGCCGAATGGTGATTCTAGAAGAAGGAAAGATAACTGTTATTCCTTTATCTGAATGATGCGAAGGCCATTAGCGTGTGAGACTTCACCTGCAACTTGAAACAGTTCGCTGGAAGTAGCAAACAAATTCCATTTTCTGTTTCTTGTCTAAAACGATGATTTCGGATGCTGTACATGTTAAAAATGTTTTTTCTTGTTTGACGCTTGCTCTTACTTATTCCAAAGATTTTCTTCCGAAAAGGACTACGAATAAATAGAGAACCGTGCTTTTTGACTTGTAAGGAAGGATATTAGAATGAATGACATGTATATAAATCCTAATCCTGACCATAAATATCAGTTAATTCCTTACGGTAATTGTCTATAAACATGCCAACTTAATCAACGTTTGTTCTATATTGATAACTAGCGGAAGTACCCGATGTCGGTCTAGATAATTTGATAGTACATGTTTGACGTATTAGAAGACGACATCGCTATGGTCTTTCATGGATTATCGATCGGGGATATTGCACAATACGCTTGGATCTTTTCCTTCTCAACTTTTAGTATTTGATATTTTGAGATTTTCATAAATATCTTTTTTCTTTTCA